GGGGGGCTCGTTTTAAAAAGCAGCTGCGGGGTGCGTTTGTGGTCTCGACTAATTTGCGCTTGTCCTCCTCGGGGTAGGGCCGGGGTTGGGTTGGGGTTGGCCGGGTGGTGCAGGCAGGGCAGCGTGCAGCGCAGCATCACAAGCAGAGTGGCCTGGGCTGGCCTGGGCTGGGCACACCGACTAGTAGTTGTGCACCGGCTGCACACACACATTCAACGGGTGGTCGGGTTACGCTTTTCGCGGTCTCCCAAGTATAGCTGCGCTGTTAAAACCTTTCACTGAAATACAGTTCTGTGAAAAACCACCCTCACAAGAAGAAAAAGAAGCAAACATTAAAACGCAATTTGCGAGGCATTTGCATCGCAATTGCAAAGAAAAATGCTTCGTAGTTACAAAGGATCGAAATCCTTCGCAATTGCAAAGCGTTGTTACGTAGGGATTTAACAGTGTAAACCTATTTAGTATTTACAAAGTATAGTAAATAACAAAACTAGAGAAAGCAATCATTGAAGCGCGCCGCTTAATTAGACGTGTTCAAGATCAAAATGGGAATTGTATAGTTCTCCATCATTGGGCCGTGTGGCGGAGAGGTGAGACCTCGCTCACCTCGCCTGGCCCGCCCGGCGGAGCGCGAGTGTGCTGCTGCGGCGAGGGGAGAACAATGAGGATGAGGGGGGCTGCGCTGTTGGGCGGAGATAGGCTGGCCCAGCCCCCAAGGGCGCGTCTCCACCCCCCACGCCGCGACCCGACCACCACCAAGGTTGGAGCGATTATAAAGGCACGAAATAATTCGACAGTGTAACAACAACACGCCCCCACGCAGCGCGTGTACCTACACGGCCGGGGGATCATAACCCGCACGCTTTAAAACGGCACAAAAGGGGAGATCGGATAGCGGGGCGCGTCCTCCGCAGCAGATAGGCCCCCGCCGCCTCCGCGCCGCCCCCGCGCCGCCGTAGGAGCGTCATTCTCATTCTGGACGCGTCCTGCTATTTAGACAAAGCATTCCGCCTGGAGGCCCACGGGCAGGACTCGCTCCAGGTTCCAGGGAGGGCCCAGACCGGCCAAACTCCCCCCTGCTGCGAGCTAGAGTACAGAGTTTACCGGGCCATGGACCACCGCTGGTCCGCTGCCGCCACTGCTGCTGCTGTGATGTCGAGGTTCCGGATCATAATGCTGGGCTACTGTGAAAAGCACTTTGTAGATTTC